TAGAGAGGATCCTGACCTACAGGTGCACCATAGAGAGCATCCTGACCTTCTACAGGTGCACCATAGAGAGCATCCTGACCTACAGGTGCACCATAGAGAGGATCCTGACCTTCTACAGGTGCTCCATAGAGAGGATCCTGACCTTCTACAGGTGCTCCATAGAGAGGATCCTGACCTACAGGTGCACCATAGAGAGCATCCTGACCTACAGGTGCACCATAGAGAGGATCCTGACCTTCTACAGGTGCACCATAGAGAGGATCTGACCTTCTACAGGTGCTCCATAGAGAGGATCCTGACCTTCTACAGGTGCTCCATAGAGAGGATCCTGACCTTCTACAGGTGCACCATAGAGAGGATCCTGACCTTCTACAGGTGCACCATAGAGAGGATCCTGACCTTCTACAGGTGCTCCATAGAGAGGATCCTGACCTTCTACAGGTGCACCATAGAGAGGATCCTGACCTTCTACAGGTGCTCCATAGAGAGGATCCTGACCTTCTACAGGTGCTCCATAGAGAGGATCCTGACCTTCTACAGGTGCTCCATAGAGAGGATCCTTACCTTCTACAGGTGCACCATAGAGAGGATCCTGACCTTCTACAGGTGCTCCATAGAGAGGATCCTTACCTTCTACAGGTGCACCATAGAGAGGATCCTGACCTTCTACAGGTGCTCCATAGAGAGGATCCTGACCTTCTAGAGGTGCACCATAGAGAGGATCCTGACCTTCTACAGGTGCTCCATAGAGAGGATCCTGACCTTCTACAGGTGCTCCATAGAGAGGATCCTTACCTCCTACAGGTGCACCATAGAGAGGATCCTGACCTACAGGTGCACCATAGAGAGCATCCTGACCTTCTACAGGTGCACCATAGAGAGCATCCTGACCTACAGGTGCACCATAGAGAGGATCCTGACCTTCTACAGGTGCTCCATAGAGAGGATCCTGACCTTCTACAGGTGCTCCATAGAGAGGATCCTGACCTACAGGTGCACCATAGAGAGCATCCTGACCTACAGGTGCACCATAGAGAGGATCCTGACCTTCTACAGGTGCTCCATAGAGAGGATCCTGACCTTCTACAGGTGCTCCATAGAGAGGATCCTGACCTTCTACAGGTGCTCCATAGAGAGGATCCTGACCTTCTACAGGTGCTCCATAGAGAGGATCCTGACCTTCTACAGGTGCACCTTATAGAGGATCCTGACCTACAGGTGCACCATAGAGAGGATCCTGACCTTCTACAGGTGCACCATATAGAGGATCCTGACCTACAGGTGCACCATAGAGAGCATCCTGACCTTCTACAGGTGCACCATAGAGAGGATCCTGACCTACAGGTGCACCATAGAGAGCATCCTGACCTTCTACAGGTGCACCATAGAGAGCATCCTGACCTACAGGTGCACCATAGAGAGGATCCTGACCTTCTACAGGTGCTCCATAGAGAGGATCCTGACCTTCTACAGGTGCACCATAGAGAGCATCCTGACCTTCTACAGGTGCTCCATAGAGAGGATCCTGACCTTCTACAGGTGCTCCATAGAGAGGATCCTGACCTTCTACAGGTGCTCCATAGAGAGGATCCTTACCTTCTACAGGTGCACCATAGAGAGGATCCTGACCTTCTACAGGTGCACCATAGAGAGGATCCTGACCTTCTACAGGTGCTCCATAGAGAGCATCCTGACCTTCTACAGGTGCTCCATAGAGAGGATCCTTACCTCCTACAGGTGCACCATAGAGAGGATCCTGACCTACAGGTGCACCATAGAGAGCATCTTGACCTACAGGTGCACCATAGAGAGGATCCTGACCTTCTACAGGTGCTCCATAGAGAGGATCCTGACCTTCTACAGGTGCTCCATAGAGAGGATCCTGACCTTCTACAGGTGCTCCATAGAGAGGATCCTGACCTTCTACAGGTGCACCATAGAGAGCATCCTGACCTTCTACAGGTGCTCCATAGAGAGGATCCTGACCTTCTACAGGTGCACCCATAGAGAGGATCCTGACCTTCTACAGGTGCTCCATAGAGAGGATCCTGACCTTCTACAGGTGCTCCATAGAGAGCATCCTGACCTTCTACAGTTGCTCCATAGAGAGGATCCTTACCTCCTACAGGTGCACCATAGAGAGGATCCTGACCTTCTACAGGTGCTCCATAGAGAGGATCCTGACCTTCTACAGGTGCTCCATAGAGAGGATCCTGACCTTCTACAGGTGCTCCATAGAGAGCATCCTGACCTTCTACAGGTGCTCCATAGAGAGGATCCTTACCTCCTACAGGTGCACCATAGAGAGGATCCTGACCTACAGGTGCACCATAGAGAGCATCCTGACCTACAGGTGCACCATAGAGAGGATCCTGACCTTCTACAGGTGCTCCATAGAGAGGATCCTGACCTTCTACAGGTGCTCCATAGAGAGGATCCTGACTGGCTGCATCACAGCCTGGTACAGCAGCTGCACCGCCCTCAATCGTAAGGCTTTACAGAGGGTGGTGAAAACTGCAGAGAACATCACCAGGACGGAGCTGCCATCCATGGAGGACCTATACTCCCAGCGGCTCAGGAAGAAAGCCCTCAGGATTATCAAAGACCCCCATCACCCCAGCAACAAACTGTTCTGTCTGCTGCCGTCTGGCAGGCGGTACCGCAGCATCATCCCACAGGCCATAAGACTATTAAACACCCAAACTTTGTAAAGAACATCCATAAACATTCATCTGTTTGCATCTTGCAAACTATTTATCTAATATATCATATTCCATTTACTTATATATAGACTCTTCTTGCACTATTGAATCTGTTTTATTTGTTCTATGTCCTATATATAAATATATGTAGCACCGTTGGAGGAGCCTGTGACCTGTGAAGTTTTTCATTACCATATCTACACTGTAGCTAATGTGCAAATGATAATAACGCCTTGAATTGAGACTAATTTCAGTTGGGCCCAAAAACGCTATCAAGAACAATGTTAAGACAAAAGTAAAAATAAAACGATTAAGCAATTTATAAATAGCAGATGAATAAATTATTTGTACGTCTATTCATTTAGATTATTGGTTGTTCAATACCAAAAGGGTATTTGATTTATTCTGAGTAGCGTAATTTATCTTGACATAGTGATACGTTTGCTAATTTGTCTGCGCTCCTTTTGTTTATTATATTTCTTTCAGTTGGAGTAAAATACTTTTAATAGCCTATCAAATAAAGACAAGAAAAAATATTTGAGCATGCGTCCTCTGTTGCCCTCAAGCCTCTGAGGTTCGGGCAAAGAAGTTGTAATCTGCTCTGACCAACTGAATAACTCTCACCTTGTCGTCATTTTTCAACTTTTCAAGGAACTGTTCGTGGAAAGCCAGCACTTGGTCACCATCAACAACACGTATGTCAACTGGGGAAAGGTCCTCGTCACCTTGGCCAGGGCAATGTTAGTCATTGATTCCTCGGCCAATCAGAGAGTGCTCCATGCTGAGCCTTGGCAGATCAGAGTGGCTCTCCAGCCTCCATTCATTCAGGGCAGGTGGACAAGTTCCCATGCTAGCTCACATTAGAAAGCTGCTGTATGTGCAACGGTTTAGCACAAATTAATTTGATATTATTGAATGCTTCTTCTATAAGGAATAAAGTTATAAGTCCTATTTACGATTGAATGTTTGTTCACAAGCCTGCTGTTATTAATATGAAAACAACCTGGGGGAGGACTCTGAGTCCCATCTGGATGATGAGACGTGTCGAAAAAAAATTTTGAATACAAAGAAGATTACATGTTCAAAACAAAATCTCATGAGACCCAATACAAGATTATTCACAGACATATAACCCCAGCTATTGGATGTAAATATGATCCCTTGTGCTGCTTGAAATGTAAAAATAGCCGTGGCACAGTCCTCTCATGGTCGAACCCTAAAATGTTTATTTGTATACTTCTACTTTTACTAAAGTGCAAGAACTGAGTACTCCTCCCACCTCTGCCAGGATAACCGGAGGTACATAAAGGTACTAAAAACACAGTGTACCAATGACATGTCAGTGGGACATGAAGTGGTTTTACGACACACAGCAGCAACTTATGAGTTGGTGGTCAGGACCCCCCTTTACCGTTTCTGTTTCAGCAGAACACTTAACCTCAACTGCTCCTGGGGGCCGGGCCAGCACCTGTGGGCCTGCCCCTGTGGAATGAGAATGATTAGCTTTCTAGCTTTAGCAGACAAAGTTTTGTTTCTGTTTCTAATTCCAAGCACTATCTATCCCTCCAACAGAATGAGCGTGTGACAAAACACGAGTGGCATAGCATCAGCCCCTCCTCAGCCTCACAGTCACTCTGTTCTAACGTCCACAGCAGGGCCATATACCTTTGAGACGTCACAAATATTTGTCAAAATGAGTGAAAATGGTATGGGCTGATAATTTATAAACACATCAAAAAATACAGTAGCACAATAACAGTGGATATTAGATAGTAGGCAGGAAGGGTAGATATTATGGTCTTAAGATACTATAGCAGAAGTAAAAGTACTCATTCTGCACAATGGCCCTTTCCAGAATAATACAAACTAGAGAAATATTATCAGGTAAATTAGGTAGTATACTGTAAGTAAAATAATGGATATTTTTACAGTATTTTATTATGGTAATTGATTATCCTGTTTTTATACACGCAATAGCCTTTTGGTATTGTAACAGTCAGTTTGGACCAAATTTAGATACTAGAAATACTGTGTAGAGTGAAGTACTGCATTATACCATGTCAGTATATGTGTTATTATGTGTACAAAGGAATTAGTAACCGAGTTAAAATAAATGAAGCGTAGTAAAAAGTATGATTTGCCTCTAAAAATGTATTCGAATAGAAGTATAAAGTAGCATTAAATGGAAATAATCAAGTAAAAGTACAAATGTAAAAAAAATACTCAAGTACAATACTTGAGTAAATGTACTTAGTTACTTTCCACCACTGGTCTTCTTAAGGATTACAGGAGCTGCTCTTCAAGTGTGTAAGGCATCTTTATTCAAGCTCGTACCATATATACAACAATACTTTGCAGATGGGGCTGGACCACATCATCACTGGAATACATTCAGTTTCATTCAGCTCAAATACCATCCCGTCAATGAAGGAACTGCTCATGTCGGAAAATGCTGGAATATTTCCTGTATTAAAATGCCCCAGTCACAGGTTTGATTTGATCAAGATATGTTGTGATAACATTTCATACATGAATATGAATGACTTAACATTGGCACAGAACGGTCTGACAGCGCCCTCTGCTGTCACTGTATTGTTGCATCAGCCCAGTGCACGTCCAGCCGTAGAATCAGTTTAAAATTAAACACTAATTGTCCTCTTCATCCACCCGAACACTTTCAAATGCCGGGTGAGTTCCGTGGTTCAATCATCAGCTTGACTCTGAGGAGAAGCTGCTCTCGCAACAAGCCGCAGACTCAGCTGTGTGGAAACTGGAGTTCTGTTTGAGTCCCATCCTGTCCCCCCCCCCCCCCCCAGCAGGTAGACAGAGATCCTTCAGCCTTCTCGGACTTTGGCAGCAAGAGCAGAGTTCTCCTGTCGAATGGCCTTGTAGTCGCTCAGAATCCTCTCGAGGTTGGCCACAGTTTTACTGCCGTTTTCAGTCTCAATCTGTGCACAAAGGTTCAATTCATCATTCTGGATATAACTGCATTTTTTAAGTACTTGGACATTTTAGCAAATACATGTTAATTGCATTCATGTGTGATGTCCATAGATACTTAAGGATCCCCTGAGAAAAGCTCCCTGATCCAAAAACATGATTTAGTCCACTTAAGAAAGGTCAATGTTAGAAGGATTAATCAATGACCAATGACTAAAGTTATTGATTGCAAAATTATGATTTGGAGACCGAATGTTTTTCTTTAGCACTGTCAATCAAATCATTTTTCAGAAATAAGTCCAATCAGTTTACACAGAGTGAGTGGAATATGTTGGTAGAAGGATTTCAACGTTGTGTTTTTACATTGTGGTGAATCTCTACATACAGCGTCAGGATGTGGAAACTAGTTTGCTGGAAAAATAAAGTCAGATTCTTGTTGTGATGAAAGAGTGTATTCTGGGAGTTTCAGAAGATGGGAAGGTATTGGCACGGTGTATGTGTAGAGTAGAACGACGTGTCCTATAGTTAAGTATCCTGTAACAAGAATTGTGTACAACAAAAACAACGTGTCTACGTTCTATTAGCAGAAACCAAGAGGCAGGAGGAAAATATCCTGCTTTAAAGCCATCACAGAGACACTGTTAACAGCTGTGTCTGAAGACTGACATACTTTCAGGTCAGTATGTTGTAATTATTTTGGTGTTTCTACCGTAACAACCAAATGAAAACAAAACAATTAAAGAGGGAGAAATAAATTAAATATCTGATGCCACCTGCACCTTTTGATAGAAAACTGCTTCCGTCTCTATGCTAAACTAGGATTAGGCTCCAGTCCGTGATGGCCAGATGGAACTTGTCATCTGACTCAGCAGTGATGTGATGCAGTGTAGTTCCTACCTGCTCCTCGAGATCTCGAATCTCCCTCAGGATTGTCCCGGTGTACTCGATGGTCTGGATCAACTGATTACAGTTCTGTAGAAACATGGACAGATGACATGTTACACCTTCACTGATGAGAGCAACGGAAGAGAGCGAACCAGATAACGTGAGGACGTACTTCATGCAGGGCAGCCAGGTACTTGTAGGATTTGCGGACGGATTCATCTTTTTTGGCGTCCTTTAGATGAAAAAATGAATTAATACATGGGAAATGATTTAGTACTAACATACAGTATATATTGAAAACAACCATTTCAAGAATTCTCTTTTTTAATTAAATTAACTAATAACGCCTTAACCACATATGATGAAGCAAAACTATAGATTGTAAATAAATTGGCCCGAGATAGCAGCAATATATACATACATATATACATATATATATATATATATATATATATATACACCGTGATGGTTTGATTCAGAAGGCGTTTAATGTATAAGATCCCTGATGTTGAGGTAACCAGAATGTTTATTTCCACTGTGTACAACATGTTATAAGGGACCCACGATCTATCTTTATGCAAGGGATAATGTGCAGCCAGGCGGTCTCAATGGGGAAAAGAACACCTGCACCTAGATGCCTCTGCAGGTGGTACTTTAACTATATTTTGATGCTAATACTTTTGTACTTTTACTTGTAACATTTTGAATGCAGGACTTTTTATTGTAACCGAGTATTCCTACACTCTGGTACTTTTACTCAAGTACAAGATCTGAACTTCTCCCACCTCTGACAGTAAATCCTGAGTGGTTACCAAAAAAAAAACCCCTGCTCTGAAGGTTATTTTCATTTTACAAATCCTGCACTCAGCTTTGCTTTCTCCAACATCATTGAAAATCAGCCAGATGCTGCTTCTTTTTTCGGTTTTCGCTCATTTCTTGACTTTTTCCGACGCGCTTGCATTTAAATCCGGCTCCCCGTCTCCCCGTCGCTCTGTAGCTGGCCTGTACCACTACACCTGCTGTCTTTGGAGCGTCTGCCCCCCACCCTTCTTTCACATAATGGTATGATCCTAGTGTGTCCTCGTATATGATTGGCCGCATGGTGGCCCAGCTAAATAAAGTCCCGCCCCTGCCTGCAAGGATTCTCCGCAAGAGTAGGAACGGCTGAAGATTCTGCTCTCCCCGACGCAAGTCTGCTCTTCTAGCGGCATCTCGCGATCTGCGTGTTGGAGACCTCTGAATTAAATTGTCAGGTGACCTCAAGTCAGAAGGCTCAAGTCCAAATCAAGTCCTGAGTCATTGGTGTTCAAGTCGAGTCGCAAGTGTTTTGTGATTTTGTCAAGTCGAGTCCAAAGCAGAGTTCTGCATCGGGTCGGGTAGCCGTGGGTACCCGACGGGTGACCCGCAAAAAAGGTGATTCGCGGGTGGTATTTTTTCAAACACTTTTTTCCGGGTTCGGTTCTGGGTAAAACAAAGATGATGCGGGTCGGGTCGCGGGTATTGCATAATAAATATATTAAAATAATAATAATTTAGTTTAATGTTTAAATCCTCAGACCTCTCCCCCGCGGGACCGCGCATAATCATAACCTCTGCAGCGCATCAATCTGCTGCTGTGCGCGCCACATTCGAAATGGCTGAGGTGAAGCTCTCTAGCGGAGAATACAGCATTTTCAATAACACTTCCTCAAGAGCGAAATCCAACGTCTGGGAGGCTTTTGGTGTCATCCTAGATGGAGGAAAGAACCAACATCCCACGCTTTTTGAGACAAATATGCAACTGCGTGTGTTAATAATTGCACGTTTTCACTGCTCATAGGCTATGCGGGTTCGGGTCGGGTTGCGGATCTTGTGCCGACGGGTCGGGTCGGGTTGCGGAACTAATTGGCAATATGTGCGGGTAGCGGGGCGGGTTCGGTATTGCACGTCGCGGGTGCGGGGCGGGAGCGGGTCTTGAAAATCAGACCCGTGCAGGACTCTAGTCCAAAGTCATCAAATTGGTGACTCGAGTCAAGTCATGTGACTCGAGTCCACACCTCTGCCAGATACTGACTGGTTTTCGGACCCCCCCAGACCCCCCCAATAAAGCAAAACTGCACGTTTTAGAGTGGCCTTTTATTGTGGCCAGCCTAAGGCACACCTGTGCAATAATCATGCTGTCTAATCAGCATCTTGATATGCCACACCTGTGAGGTGGGATGGATTATCTCGGCAAAGGAGAAGTGCTCACGATCACAGATTTTTTCAGATTTGTGAACAATATTTGAGAGAAATGGTTATTTTGTGTATATAAAAATTTTTTTAGATCTTTGAGTTCATCTCATGAAAAATGGGAGCAAAAACAAAAGTGTTGCATTTATATTTTTGTTCAGTGTATGTCAGGATATAATGTGTTTAGGAAGGACAGACTGAAGGGAAAAGGAGGGGGTGTGTTGCTTTATGTGAGGAATACCTTTACTTGTAGGGAGATTGCTCTTCCAGCTAATGTTGATTTTGATTGTGTTGGTGTGGAAATCAAACTATCTGAGGAAATGTCCCTCATCATGATTTGCCTGTATCGACAACCCACGGCTAAGATGGATTTCTATGACCAGGTAAAACTCATGCTGAATTCCTGTGACTCCAACAAAGAGCTAATCATTGTAGGAGACTTTAACATCAACTGGAATGACTAACAAAGTAGAAAGAACTTAAAACGGATCACGGATAATCACAACTTAATACAACTAAAGGATCAACCGACTAGAACAACTCAAACCTCCAAGACTATGATAGATTTAGTATTTACTAACAAAGCTGACAGAATAGTTCAAACCTACACATTCCTGACCATAATCGCATTATTTTTTTACCAGGAAACTCACAAAAAAAAGGTTCATGGCCACACCTAAAACCCTTGCCTTGGGTTCTCGGATCATCCCCAAAAATCTGCAACAACGTTTTATGGATGCAGTGAAAATGATTGATTGGGGGGACACTGTCCTCTGAAGATATTGGTGAAAACAGTGATTTGTTTATATCTAAAATGAATGATACAATGTCTTCCTTCTCAAGGAGAGGGTGCCTTAGGGATAGGAAGGAACATCATCTTCCCTGGCTGAATCTACAATGCAGGAATCTCATGAAATCTAGAGACCAACTATTAAAGCAGAGCTTGAAATCCGGACTATCCACTGTTAGACAGAAATTCACTCATGCTGGTAACAAAGTAACACAAACAATAAGACAGGCCAAAGCAAACTTCTTCATCAATGTAATTGAAGGTGTGAAAGGTAACAGTAAAAAAGTTTGGCAAACCTTAAATAAACTATTAGGTAAACATAAGAAACAGGAAAATAATGTTCTAGAATTAAAAATCAATGATGCCCTGATAAAAGACCCTGCAGTGTTGGCCAGCTCTCTCAATGAGTATTTCTTAAATAGTGCTCTGGACATCACAAAGCTCTTCCCGCCATCTGAGGTCTCACCTAGCCGGACTGTGGATACACACCCAGTTTTTGACCTTGAGGAAATCACAGAGGTGGAGGTAAAAAATATAATCTCAGGGTTAAGAGGTTCTAAGGCTAGGGATGCAGATGATTTAGACACCAACTTATAAAAAACACATATTGACGGTCTAATAAAACCAATTACTATGCTAGTGAATCAATCTATCAGCACAAGGGAAGTCCCATCATCCTGGAAGGTGGCCACGGTGACACCGATCTTTAAATCTGGGGATAAGGCAATGATGTCCAACTACAGACCAATCACCATCCTCATCCTTTCTAAGGTAGCTGAGAAATGTGTGTCAAAACTAGTCACCAAACATTTAGACAAAGGTTTCGCTCCACTCCACCCAATGCAGTTTGGTTTTCATTCTCACCACTCCACTGAGACAGCTAACTGTGTCTTTGTGGAAAAGGTTAAATGTATGTTGGACACGAGCCCATATGTAGGAGCTGTCTTCCTTGATCTCAGGAAGGCTATTGACACTGTTGACCACCAAGTGCTCCTACAAAGCTGACATATATTTCAATTTTTCGGCAGTTTCAATACATTGGTTAAAGTCTTACTTATCGAACAGAAAACAGTGTGTTTTGGTCAACAGAGCCAAATCCCCCTACCTTGTGAACCCTGTTGGGGTTCCACAAGGTTCCATTCTTGGACCATTAGTTTTCATTGTACATTAAAGACTTGCCTAATGTATGTCCTGAGTTGAATGTGCAAATGTATGCCGATGATGCGGTCATCTTTGTACAACATTGAAATTATCTCATCTCGTCTCTCTAATGCAGCGTTTCTCAAACTTTTTCATACCAAGGACCACTTAACCAATAAAAAAACACTTGCGGACCACCTAACTCCACAAATATCTAAAATCACATCGTTTTTCTACAACAGATTACAAATCGCCTGAAAATGGTACAAACAAGTGGCAACATGTGTGATGAAGGTGTTGCACTGGGCTATATCATGCACTCGTAAGTTGGAACTTAAGCTCGCTTCATTGCGGAGATATTTCCGCGAGAGTGCGGAAAACTTACATTTATTTATTTATTTCAAATGTGAATTTTTACCAATATACTCACGGACCACTAGGGGGCGGTCACGGACCACCAGTGGTCCGCGGACCACACTTTGAGAAGCACTGCTCTAATGCATTGGACAAGGTTCAACACTGGCTGAACAACATTTGCTTACAGTTCAACGTAAAAAAAACAGTATGCATGATGTTCAGTAGATGACCAGTCAAAATCGAAGGATCCAATGTGTTTTTAAACGGTGCAGAAATAGAACTAGTCTCCCACTTCAAGTATCTTGGACTCAAACTTGACTTTTAAGAAACATATTAAGAAAGTATCCAATACCATTAAATTCAACTTGCAACATTTTAAACAAATTAGATCTTTCTTAAATGTCAATGCTGCAAAGTCATACCTCGACAACATGATTCTATCCCACATTGAATACTGTTTTACAAACTGGTCGTTTGCTTGTGCCACTAACCTGAAACCAATAGAACAGCTGTACAAGAGAGCTATCAAGTAGTTTGACAGAAAGCCAAATTCATACCACCACTGTACCATCCTTGAGAAACACAATTTCTTGAGTTTTGACCATTTTAAGTCTTTTAAAAGTATGTGTTGTTTTTATAAATGTTTACATGGACTGTACTTTAAGATGTTTGTCAAGCTGCCTCATAATAACACCTTCCAGTGCCCTCTCCATGTCACACAAGGATTTGCTATGCCTTCAAATGCCGTCATCGGTTCCAAAATCAGGAGCCCCTACTGCCCTCAGTAAATCAGTCATTCCTCTGAACTGGTTACCTAGAATATCATTTTTGGTCATGTGAAACACCACTTTTAACTGGGAATGCAGCTTCTGGCTGCTCTGTTCTTTTGCGCTGTCGATACGACTTTTCATAGCCATTGTTGTTGTCCTGCGTTAACTGCGAACGTATGGTCTTGGCTGTGTCTTGGGCTGTGTTCTGTGAGGGCTGATGCTCTCATGTTGGTTGATCCTCTGGTAAAGCCATCTTTCCTCCCTGACCTAGCACAAAGGGAGCAAAACATTTTTTCCACTCCATCGACACTTTCGCATTGAAGCCATTTGAATTTCTTCTGCCAATCACCTTGAAAGTGTACTCTCGCCTTCTTCGCCGCTGGACCTTTGGTTTCGGATGTTTGCGGGGTTGCTTCATCAGGCAGAGAGTCAGAGGTAGGCTTATCGACAGGCTTACTGCTATTTTTTTAGGAAAAATGTGTGAATGTTGGATTGTTTAGCCATATCTAACTGTGCTACGAAGGCAACTGATACATTGCTTCAACGTTTAGTAGTAGGCCTATAATAAGTATTACAGAATCTCGCGAGTGTGTGTATATGTGTGTATGTGTATTTTTACGTTTGTGTGTATTCATGGCCATTGAGGTCACCGAGGTCCGGACCTCCATAATATTTTCCGAGCTGTGTATAACAAAACTTGTGAAATAACTGCACTAAACGGGGTTCTTTGTAGTACTTCCATTTACTGACGAGGAGTGATGAGGTATCTAGAGATCTGAGTCCAGAGGAGAGATGAGGTATCTAGAGATCTGAGTCCAACGGAGGAGTGATGAGGTATCTAGAGATCTGAGTCCAGCGGAGGAGTGATGAGGTATCTAGAGATCTGAGTCCAACGGAGGAGTGATGAAGTATCTAGAGATCTGAGTCCAGAGGAGGAGTGATGAGGTATCTAGAGATCTGAGTCCAGAGGAGGAGTGATGAGGTATCTAGAGATCTGAGTCCAGCGGAGGAGTGATGAGGTATCTAGAGATCTGAGTCCAGAGGAGGAGTGATGAGGTATCTAGAGATCTGAGTCCAGAGGAGGAGTGATGAGGTATCTAGAGATCTGAGTCCAGAGGAGGAGTGATGAGGTATCTAGAGATCTGAGTCCAGAGGAGGAGTGATGAGGTATCTAGAGATCTGAGTCCAGAGGAGGAGTGATGAGGTATCTAGAGATCTGAGTCCAGAGGAGGAGTGATGAGGTATCTAGAGATCTGAGTCCAGAGGAGGAGTGATGAGGTATCTAGAGATCTGAGTCCAGAGGAGGAGTGATGAGGTATCTAGAGATCTGAGTCCAGAGGAGGAGTGATGAGGTATCTAGAGATCTGAGTCCAGAGGAGGAGTGATGAGGTATCTAGAGATCTGAGTCCAGAGGAGGAGTGATGAGGTATCTAGAGATCTGAGTCCAGAGGAGGAGTGATGAGGTATCTAGAGATCTGAGTTCAGAGGAGGAGTGATGAGGTATCTAGAGATCTGAGTCCAGCAGAGGAGTGATGAGGTATCTAGAGATCTGAGTCCAGAGGAGAGATGAGGTATCTAGAGATCTGAGTCCAGCGGAGGAGTGATGAGGTATCTAGAGATCTGAGTCCAGAGGAGGAGTGATGAGGTATCTAGAGATCTGAGTCCAGAGGAGGAGTGATGAGGTATCTAGAGATCTGAGTCCAGAGGAGGAGTGATGAGGTATCTAGAGATCTGAGTCCAGAGGAGGAGTGATGAGGTATCTAGAGATCTGAATCCAGAGGAGGAGTGATGAGGTATCTAGAGATCTGAATCCAGAGGAGGAGTGATGAGGTATCTAGAGATCTAAGTCCAGAGGAGGAGTGATGAGGTATCTAGAGATCTGAGTCCAGAGGAGGAGTGATGAGGTATCTAGAGATCTGAGTCCAGTGGGCTGCTTGTGTTTCTGTTCATCAGGACATCATATGACCAGCAGATCCTTTGTGAACGCTCTACGTTAGTCAGTGGACGTCCGACAACATGCACACTAACTTATATTGCAGCTATAGGCTATACTTTGGGTTAAATTGCGTGAATAAACTAGCTAGAGAGCTAAAGTTAATTACGTTCATCCAATGTCAGAAGGATTACCTTTTAACAAACGTTGTAATGCTTTTCTTTCATTTCAATTTGAGTAAAACATTGAAGATATAACATTGTATTGTCTTTTTACACTGACTCAGATATAATGAAAAGACTACGTCAGTCGAAGCTCAGCGTTGGTAAGGAAGAAACAGGACAGGCAGAGAGAAAGAGAGAGAGAAAGAGATGGAAGTCAGGGAGGAACTGCAGGTACAGTCACACAAAAGAATGTAGGCTTAATAACCCCATCTATCTATCTATCCATCCATCTATCCATCTATATAACAATAGTCTTAATTTACAATATAGACAATAGGCATAATTTTAAAACAACATACATCTATTGCAGTTATGATGTCATAACATACAATTGTAAAAAACACATTTTGCCTACATTTTTGTTCTCTTTTGAGAATCAAACAAATAATGCAAACAAACAAGTGAAATGAACTAAATGGCTGAATTGCTTTTAATTCACTGGCAGGAGCGACAAGGAGCAAACAGTGAACAACGAGGGAGAGATTGAACAAAGAGAAAGAGTAGAGGACAGAGAGAGTAATGAACAGGAAGAAGACAGAGAGACTAAAGACGATGGAAGAGAGGCTGCAGGTTATGGAAAGGAGAGAGACATGGAAAGTGAATGTTGCCAATGTTTTGTGATCATTTTAGCCTCTTCTGCATGTCCAGATCATTCATAGTAACAATCAACTGATTCTTATGCATCACACTTTCAAAAATAATGTATGCTGCACCCACTGACTTGGTTTGAAATCAATATATTATCCAATGTGTGACCCCCCACAGGACTTAAAAAGCACCTAACTAGATCATGAAAATCCCAAAAATCTCGGGGGGTATCCCCCGAACCCCCCTTGCATGTTTGGACCTCGGTATTTAGGAAATCCTGGATACGGCCCTGTGTGTATTGTGTTTGTTTCCCGGGGAAAACACTTACGAGAAACACCGGCTGTTGTTATGCCTGCTGTGACGTTAAGTTACTCCGTTCTCCGCTTGTAATTATGCCGTTACAAGCTTCAAAGTTCTATTTATCATCTGAATTTGCCAAAACAAGTTTAATATTCTGAAAGCCAAGACTTTGTTTAATTGAAATCAGATGAAAACAAACTGTAACGGACCCGGCCGTGTTATCTATGATTACTATACGCCTTACATTCATAATGTCAGCGGGAGGGAGGGGGGGCGGCGCTGCGGAAGAGCAGAGTGCGAGTGAGAGCTGTTATCTTCCCTTTCAAATCCACGTTTATTTTGAAATGAGCCGTTGCGACTTCCGACAGATTTCGATAGAGCGGGTCACAAATGTCTAGGGATAGCCTACGTTATCTAAGTTTTGTATGAGCATTATTACCGGACATTTTGACGGGCATTTTTTTAATTGACCGGTTTTTTATACATTTTACCAGCTAAAAACCGGTAACTACCGGCTAACGGAAACCCTGATATATATATATATATATAACTGAAACGTTTTTGGCAGTTCTGCAAAGGTTTCATGGCTCTAGAGGTTGCTGCTTCTCTGGACCATAATACTATTCAAATAAAATGACCATAGAAACATCACATGGGGTTCTGTGGCACATCCTTATCTTCAACCAATCGGGCATCATTAAGTATAATGTTTGTAAAACAAAAACTGATAGAGGTCTTCACCTAAGATCTTACCGTGGATCTTAGAACAGTAAACTCCCTTGAAATGTTTAAAAGCAAATTAAAAACCAATTTTTTTTAATATGGCTTTTAATTTGGGTTAACTTTCAATTGTCACTAGTATCATTGTCCATGTTTTACTGTATTTTCTTTCTGTTTTGCTTTTATTTTACATTTTAGATTTATTAATTATTTTAACTTAACATATTATCACTATAGATGTTTTATCTTGTTCTGTATTCATTTTAATATTATTTTAATATTGTTGTTATGTTTTCTGTAAAGCACTTTGGGCTGCTTTGTGCATGAAAGGTGTTATACAAATAAAGTTTATTATATTATTATAAAAATACTATTTACTATTCAGGAGTACTGATAAAAAAGACTGCTACCTTAAAGACCAGCTCGTCAGTCACGGCGAAGGTTCTGTCCAGTTTCCCTGTCAGGCTGTTGATCTCTTTCTGGAGATCCTTAGTGTCAGACAAAATCTGCAGGGCGGGGGGGCGACGACGACACACAGTGTTAGTGAGGGGATGTTACAGCTGATACAAAGACATATTTAAATGTTCTCCATTAAAAGTTAAAGACCATGAGTTGCCTCCACACATGGTAACAGCAGCAGGGCTGTAGCAGTTTGGCTTGCTTTATGTATTCATTATTTCCAGTTCTGACTTGTGATTTGCTTTTGAAAGTACCTTTGTGATTTCCTCCTTCTGTTTCTTGATGTTGCTGACGATCTCTAGTATCCTCTGAGTGTACGCTGACCGGGACGCGTCCTGAGGAAGATTTTCTAACTCTGTTACCTACGGTGAAAAAAACCACACATACGGACAAACATTTAGCGCATTCAACAAAAAAAAATACTTTTACACAAACCTGTGTCAACACGACGCTTGCAATCGTAACTTGTGAGTTGACCAATTATACTAATACATATCAGGTACAAGTAAAGAAAAGCAAGTTAAATCCATTACCAGCTGTTTGTAGGTCTCTTCTTTCTTCTTGGCCTCCTCTGTAGACACACAGATTTTATCGTGCACAGATTTGATTTCAGACAGCTTTTGGGATGACTCCAGCTGAATAGCATAAAGACAGGAAATCAGAATCTGAAACAGATGAATGTTCTGTATCAGATGAAGCGACACATTATGGGCCCCACTTACATCTTGTCTGCTGCAGATTTCTTTGAGCCTGCGGTGCTCGTCGATGAGTGGAGCGCGGTGTTTCTCCCACTGAGAAGCCAGGTGCACCACCCGCTTGGCACTGGCCTCCACCAGAGCCTGGAGGAACAAACACAGCGTCTCAGTCTGAGAGCCGCGCGGGCCCTGACCACAGGTCAGATTTTACCCAGCTATACTACCTTCAGCTTCTGCAGGTTGTCGTCTGAGTCTGGCAACAGGTCGATTGTTTTCTTCTTCACCTGCATCTTCTCCTCTTTTTCAGAGTTCCCCAACTCTCGTTGCTTCAACTTGTCCAACACCTGCACCAAAAACATTACACAGGTATTTAATTTGACATCCTAATTTACTTGTCTTGCAACATTCTCTTGCACTATTTTATTTATACTCTGTTTCTTCTTGCACTATTTTTATTGTTTATTGTCTTATATATATTTATGATCTGTTGGAGGAGCCTGGGACTTGAGATTGTCATTGCATTGTACACTGTAGCTGTGCATATGATGATAACGCCTTTGAAGTGAAATATTAACTCTTCATTGTGTATATTGTGACTGCTGTTATGGAAGCCTATATGAACTGAAACTCAGTTCCAAGAAAGAACCAAATCCAAGTTAACTTACATCAACTTGATATGTCTAGGCTACATCTTCAGTTCTTCATTGTGTGTGTGTTACCTGTGCATGAGTGACGGTCATGTGCTTCATGTCTGCAGTGAGCTGGTCCACCTCGCTGCAGAGCTGCTGCTCCTGGAGAGAGAGCTGCTCCTCCTGCTGCCGGAGCTGGACGTCACTGTCCGACTGATGGACGAAGGGGATGGAGGTGCTGGGTTCTGTCTGCACACACACACACACCATTTGTATTGTATTATTGTATGAGAGAGGTTCCAGGTTGAATTGAGGCGAATATTTGTAATGTTCATAGGCACACACACCCACACACCCACACACCCACACCACACCCACACACCCACACACCCACACACCCACACCACACCCCACACACCCACACTACAACCACACACACACACACACACACACACACACACACACTACACACACACTACACACACACACACACACACACACACACACACACACACACACACACACACACACACACACACACACACACACACACACACACACACACACACACACACACACACACACACACACACACACACACACACACACACACACACACACACACACACACACACACACACACACACACGGTAGGGAACTACCAGTGTAAAGCAGGATTTTGTTATTTGCTTGTGCCTGGTCCTCACCTTTGTGAAGGTGAACTTCTGTGTGTGTGTGAAGTGGCTGCCCTTGGTCAGGATGTGGTCAGAGGGGGCGGAGCCTCTGAAGGCCTGCAGGAGCTCAGACAGGTCGCCGTTGGGCCGAGGACCCCCCGAGGCACTTTCAGGAGAGGGCAGTGCAGCCGAGCGGAGCTGCTCCTCGATGCGTTTACGCAGCCGGGTCAGTTTCCTGGAGCGATACTCCTGTTCAACACACAGTTATGGTTGTTAAGAAACAGCACTATCAGCATTATACGGGATCCAACGTGTGGCAAGCACTGCAAATGTGTATGGGCAAATTAGCCTTTTCTACAGAAAACAACTTCTATACTCACAAAGGCTCATTTAACTATTTACTAGACCCCGGACTGTACCAAATATGGAGGTAGTCTCCGTGGTGTCATCCATCAGCCAATAGAGTGCCGAAGTCAAGTGAATTCCTCTGACAATCGCCAATTTAGCATTGATGACACCCTGTAACTCTCTGCTAATCTCATAATGGGTAGTGAAGAGGAGGGCCTGGGTCACACTAGCAGACAGCTAGCGATCTGTCACTAATGGCGCGTTTCCACTGCAGCGGGTAGCCCCGTTTAAGCGTCCTTAATCGTCCTCAAGCGGCCAGGCCGGTTTTTGGTGGCGTTTCCATATAGCCTAGTACCGGCCAGCGGGTACTTTTTCCCTCTTTTTCCGGCCTCATAAAATCGTGGTTCCCTCAGACCAGGGCCAGGGCTGAACTAGTGACGTCAACACTCTCGACTGCTGATTGGTCAGAGAGAATCGTCACAAGATTGCGCGCGAGTTCATCCCTAGCGTCGCATATATATCTAGAAGCAAGCTTGCAGCATTTTTATACACAGCATTTTGTAAACGGAGGAGCTACAAAAATGGCTACTTCTAAGAAAAGCACACCGTGGTCGACCGAGGAGGTGACGACGTTCCTTCATCTCATTGGGGATGATCAAATCCAGCGGGAGCTCGACGGAACAACTCGAAATGTGAACAAAAACAAAGCCGATCGCCCCGCCTACACTGCGTTGCTACCCCAGGTCCTAAACTGTAATGGAAATGCGCCACGGCCTGGGCCGGCCAGCGAGGCAGCCCGAGGCCAGAGCGAGGACGCTTATGGCGCATTTCCACTGCAACGGGGTAGCCCCGTTTAAGCGTCCCTAAGCGTCCTCGCTGCCTCGCTGGCCGGCCCAGGCCGTGGCGCATTTCCATTACAGTTTAGGACCTGGGGTAGCAACGCAGTGTAAGCGGGGCGATCGGCTTTGTTTTTGTTCACATTTCGAGTTGTTCCGTCGAGCTCCCGCTGGATTTGATCATCCCCAATGAGATGTAGGAACGTCGTCACCTCCTCGGTCAACCACGGTGTGCTTTTCTTATTAGAAGTAGCCATTTTTGTAGCTCATCCGTTTACAAAATGCTGTGTATAAAAATGCTGCAAGCTTGCTTCTAGATATATATGCGACGCTAGGGATGAACTCGCTGACGATTCTCTCTGACCAATCAGCAGTCGAGAGTGTTGACGTCACTAGTTCAGCCCTGGCCCTGGTCTGAGGGAACCACGATTTTATGAGGTCGGAAAAAGAGGGAAAAAGTACCCGCTGGCCGGTACTAGGCTATATGGAAACGCCACCAAAAACCGGCCTGGCCGCTTGAGGACGGTTAAGGACGCTTAAACGGGGCTACCCCGCTGCAGTGGAAACGCGCCATAAGTTACACATTACTAATGGAGGACTTGAAGTCCTTATATCATTAAAATGTGTGAGTTATATGAAAATGAGGCCATGTTTATTTGTCATTAATATGCAGATAAGATATGAAGATTAGGGCTGTCAGTCGATTAAAATATTTAATCGCATGATTGTCCATAGTTAATCGCGATTAATCGCAAATTAATCGCACATTTTTGATCTGTTCTAAATGTACCTTAGAGGAGTATTTTTCAAGTTTTTAATACTGTTATCAACATATGAGTGGACAAATATGCTTTATGCTAATGTTTATTATCATTTGAACAATGACAAATATTATCATGAATATTAAACACAACAACCTCTGAACATTACAAATATTCGCCTCAATTCAACCTGGAACCTCTCTCATACAATAATACAATACAAATGGTGTGTGTGTGTGTGTGCGTGTGCGTGTGCGTGTGTGCGTGTGTGTGTGTGTGATGGATCGTTGGAGCTATGTGCAACTCAAGGCATATGCTCGAACGGGAGCTGCCTGGACGCTGCAATCATGTTGCACTATCCGTGCTGAGTGTGCTGACTTTTCGTACAATGTCCCACTGTCTGGCTTCCTGCATAAAGTCAAGTGCTCGGCGCAGTTGTGGCGAAATGTCGCTCCTCTGTTTTCATTTAAACAGCTCCATGTCCGTTAGCGCAGCTAGCTAGCACCAGATGCTAACAACAACAATGCACGTAAGGTCTCTCTCTCGCTCGGGCCACACATACACACACCCTCCCGGTCCTCCCAACAGCCAGTCGGTGCCTGCCGGTGAGCGTGGAAGTGTGGTCTGCCACAAGCGGCCGGCAGGAGCGGGGCTGTCAGCATCAGCTTGTAGATGGTATTTTAAACTCGATGCGCTCTGAAACTACGGGGCGGCCGAGGACAAAAAATACACATGCGTTAAAATAATTAGTGGCGTTAATTTTTTTTTTGTTATTAACGCGTTAACTTGACAGCCCTAATAAAGATATAAACAAATTCTTTTTAAACAAGGCAGTTATTCTACTGGCTTTTTGGGGGGAATTTACACAATTTCTTCTTACACCAGTCTTGCTGTTGCCAGGCAATTGCATGATGGGCTGTCTCTCACTTGATAAAAACACATTTACGTGGACGTATGTTCAGAGGATCAAAAGCACACACAGTGTAAGAGCCTGTAATGTTAAGGTGACTCAGTGTGAGGGTTTGCCTGTGGTTTGAGGCGGGACAGGAGGCCCTGACTGTTCCACTCGCTGTCCCACTCCTGAGCAGCGCTGAGCTCTGCTGTGTGCTGCTCCAATATGGACGCCACCACTGAGGCATGATGGGAAGGCTGTGCAGTCACAGGAGGAAGAATGTCTCGATGGTAGTCCTTCACCTCTGAAATTAAAGAGACAGAACACACACTTATGTCTTCCTTACTTTCTAAACAGTGATTTCAGCAGAAATTTGGGGGGTCATGGCTATTTGACCCTCTCCTTGCATAGATTCCACAAAACCAGACATGTTTCATCTCCCATTAAGCTTCATTCAGCTTTATTATTTTCCACCAACTGAAAATAATATATTTACTTCATGTTTTAATTGTAGACGTTCTTAACAATTTTATCAAAAACAGGCACATTTGGATAATTATTAATTAGGGAAGTTGCTGTTAATATTTAAATATGAGACAACCTCAATGACAACAGAACTCTGAGGGACTGATGAAACAGGAAACCAGATGAAGTGAAACCTTGCAGCGTGTTTTAAAGTGTGCAGCAGGAGACCTACCTTTCAGCGGCTTCTTCCCAGGAGAACAGTGTGCTAAACTCAGAGGCTGGACATGAAAGCTGTGCAATGCTCCTGGACTCTAAACAGGAAAGAAAAACATCAGAATACGAGTCTCTTGGCAGGTAACAAATGATAAATAACAAATTTCAGTCTGAAAGTTCAAATCAAGACACAATCATTGAATCGTCTCTAGAATGTCCCGACCAAAATGGAATTGTTTCCTGATAATTATCCGCTGATAAGAGGTCCATCCAAATCCAACTTTATTATATAACCATCACAGCTTTCCTTTGTATGTTATGTTGTACTGTCTTTTTTGCACCTGTATATTTAAAATAAAACACACATATGTTTCATCTGGTCTTAATAGGTTAGTTTTGAAGGTTACAAAGGATTGAAGTTATAAAGGACATTAGTTGTCCTTTATGTCAAATACCTCAGATACATTTCATTAAACAATGGAATCATCTCTGGCCCTGGTCAGATGTATGCTGGCACTCGCTAGCTGCACATCCCGTATTAAAGCTTTTCTGGAGATCAGAATGCAACAGGAGGACTTTACTTGTGTCTGACTGTGCAGAGGCAGTCTGCAGTTTGGAGGCAGCCAGGGCACAGAGAGCTGAGCTCTGATTGCAGCAGCGATGGCTCTCTGCAGGACCGCAGATTTACCTGCAGGAAGAGAGGACAGCTGCGGATGACTCATCAATAAGGTGTAACAGTGAGTATTATATTACTACCAGGAATAAAGGTAGTATATGCATAAATAAAAGGTAACAATGGAACAATACATGTTGAACATTTCTTCTTTTCTGTGTGAGTAGAGGGGGGGTGTACCTTGGGGCTGGTCTGAGGCCTCTGCACTCTCTCTGGGCAGCTTCTCCACCAGGAACATGAGCAGGGAGCGGATCTCCGGCTCATTGCTGTACAGAAACGTCTGGTAGCCGATCTCTCCTTTGTAACCAATGTCCTGGAAAGCAACAGTTTGACATGTTACTGTACTCAAACTGACACATTAATAACACACTGTTGGCTTTTTCTAAACACTATTTGGAGATGGTATTGATGGATTTAACAAAGACAATCTGACTTCAATGTCCACATACAAGCTTTTTTCAGGGCTTTCAAACATTGTTTTACATTTCATGGTCAGCCTCTGTAGATGTTGGTGTCAGTGGTCATTTATAACTGAGCCAATTCCATGTAAGGACAGAGACCATGATATGTGACTGTAAGCGCTGAACAACTTAGTATGTGGAATTTGAGATAGTTCATAAGAGATTTCTTTGGTCAAGAATAGACACATTCTTGTCTTAAGATGCAGACTCTCACTGTCATCAGGTGGGTTGAACCTTATTATGTGTAAGCACTGAACAGCTACATGAAAATGGTTATAAATAATAACAGAGTGGTCTCACCTGACAGGCCTGTGCCAGGCTCATGCCCACTCTGAAGCGGGCAGACATGCCGGGGGGCAGGGAGGTGGGCAGCGCGCCCCCAAGACCGGGGTCGATCACCCGGACACATCTGACCACCGCCTCCACTATGAGCTCACTGCTGAACTGTCTGACGCTGCCTGTCTCCTCACTCACCTCCCTGTGCCAAACACATGATCAAAATGTTAATATGGAAATAAAAAGATAAAAGAGAGGTCTTATCTTTGGTCTACCCATGGCAGTAGCACATGACTTGATGATGTCATCTACTCTGTATCATTTGATTTAGAGTTTGTTCACTTAATCTGCCAAGCTTAATACAAACTGGAATGATCAATCAAAGGTTTTTACTTTATTAGAACATCTAATCTTAGTTTTGAAGAATTCTGAAATATTGTCAAGATGTTTTTATTCTACAGTGAGTAGCATATGTAAGAAACTGGAGGCCATAGTTAGTGAAGTGTCTGTCGCTGTCTGTGTCCTCACTCACCTCCCTGTGGGACACAGTCCAACCTCACAGCCTCAGGTCTGATCATGTGATGGGCTGACTTAGTTTAGTTTCCTCATAGCATGTTGCCAATCACCACATTCACCATTGTACTGTCAACATTCCAACATGTCCTAAGGTTGGCATAGTATACTATGTTAATTAAATCAATATACTGTGGATACTTACGTGCCAACTTGTTTGAGGGCGTGAATCAAAATCTTGTCAACTTCTTCCATCGCTGTAGTATTTCCGTAGAGATACGAGCCGATAGACACCACTGTAGAAGATTACCTGGTGCTAGTCAGTTATTTAATAACATCAAGTTAGCTAACATTAGTGTATGGTTCGTACGGATGAGAGACTATAGAACTAGCTTCCATCTTCTGTTAGCTAACTTGGGAACTAGCTACTTTTTAATTAGCGAAGCTGACACTACACACCTCCCTGATAAACGCCATTGTCATTTCCCGAGTGTCTGAAGCGCCTAGTTATAAACTAGCTTTTGTTATAATAAATATATTAAAGTTCCCAACTATTAAAACTGACATTTGTGTGTCTTGTTCAGAGCAAGCCCCCAGGAAGTGCGCCGGTCGGACTCTGAGGAAAATATTCGTTGAGGCCAAACGGCGGTACTACACTTCCGTATCAGTCACTGGGCCCTGTGACACTAGAGGTTTCTCAATACTCTAATTTCCCCTCCTCGACTCCTATCCTCAACTCCTATCTTAGAGACTTAGGCTGCTTCTCAGGTCGATTAAATGAAATCCTTGCTTCCCTCACTTACGTCGTTTCCCTGCGTTTAGTCCCGCCCACCAGGGAAGCGTGGAGGGACGCAAGGAAACCACGAGAAGCAGGGAAATTAGTTTTAAGAGCAATGGGATGTCCTTTCCTCCGGAGCGTCACGTGAAGCGACGTCCGTTTGTGATGACGCTGCACAGCTGATCGTCTGACAGCAGCTCTGTCCCCGTTATTTCCACAAAACCCCGCCTCTGTTAGTACACATTTACTGACACAAACATTTGTATCATCTGTTGTAGACCCAAATACATTAAATAAAATAAGAACTTATTGTCAAAAAAGATAAACACCATTCTTAAAATGTATAAACGAACAATAGTTTGATTAATATTGATTAGAGTGCACAATAGAAATAAAATAATTGAGAGAAGAAAAAGAGATATGTTATCTATCAAAACCCAGTTAGATTAACATTCATTGGATTGCACACTTTGTTTGTTTGCTTGGATATGTAGCACATTAACATTTTAATAGCACTTAATGACTGACTGAATGGAAATGACAATAAATGAAAATGTAAAACGAAAAAAGCGATCATGAAAATGTTTCCAAAAAATGAATTAAATGATTTTTGACCACTTTGTTGTTCAGATATATCACATATTTGTAACTAAATGAAACATTAATTGAAACAAAACACGGTATAAACTGAGGAGTGACTCCCGTGAGGTTCATGTATTGTCTTCACTCTGCTCTCATGTCAAGAAGCATCAGATCAGTGCATGCACTGCCTCGTCCAATCAGTGAGCGATACACAGTAAGGGGGCGGGGTGAGTATCTGAGGATTTCATCGGAGGATGGTCTGGTGGTTCCTCGGTTATCACTCCTCCATGATCGCTCCTCGCTCCTCGATCCTCGGTCCTCCGGCAGAAATAAGAGCCATGGGACGGTACTCAAGATGGCGCGGGCAAATCAACTTCCGGTGAGACCGAGGACCGAGGAGCGAGGAAATGAAAATAGTCGACCTGAGAAGCAGCCTTAGTCCCGCCCATAGGAGATGCGAGCGGAGGACTGAGGAGGGGAACTGATGAGAGAGGAGGGGAAGCAGCAGGCGGTTAGAGAAATGAGAACTCCTCTCCTCTGAGCGGTCATTTTAAAGAGACGTCCATTAATGATGACAGGGGCACAGCAGCCCTCTGTCTGATGGACAGATGTGTTCATGACGACTTATATATGTACTTTTAATTCATTCACAGTGCGGTATAATGAGACAATAACAGGCTACAGATGCGGACATATACACACACATATATTTATATAAATATATACAATTTCAGAATCAAACAAGTATGAGAGCACTCTCATAATAACTTAACACAATCAGAGACTGCATATACCCCCAATAAACACGTTTTTTTATTATTTATAACATTTAAAAAAATATATATATATTTTTTTTTTAATTATAAATAAACTGTGAACTTTTATGCTACGATGTATGTGATGTCAGATAGTAACTAAAAAAAAAAATCCCAGGCTACGTCAAATAAATTCATGTGTCTGTTGTGATTTGTGATTCGTCCACATTTAGACCAATCACAGAGTCACACTCTGCCGCCTATTCTGGAAATCAGAAATTGGCTTAAAAGGTCCGGCCCGTCTACACTACAGGCGTCAAAAAATGCTTTCAACGCTTCGCCCATTCATTTGAATGGGGTGACGTACGATATTTTCAAACTTCGCCGAACTGCATTGTGGGTAGCATGGCAAGGCGTTGCAAGCATCGTTGTTCAACTTTTGAGGCTCGATGCTTGCTCGAAGCTGGCGTCAGCCAATCAAATCCCGTTTTTGCAATTCCCGCCAGTACAAGTGCTAGCCAATCAAACCGCGTGTACGCTGATCCCGCAGATCTTGACTATTTTCCATATGTCATAAAATGGAGGACAAATTAATCATTGCCGTGGCAAATGTCCCAGTCTTGTATGACTGTACTCTGTTCACCTACCGGGACCTAAACCGGAGGAACCAGGCATGGCGGGAGGTGGCAGAGACAGTTGGTGAAACTGGTAGATTTTCTGGGGAGTTTATATCCAGTTTACTTCGTTTTAGCATTGAATGGACAGCTAGTAATGTAGCATAATAACATATAATATATATTAATATAATAATAAAAAAACATTATAATAAGTATAAGCATAATATATAACATAACATATAATACATGCACAGCTATCAAGCATAGACAGTATATTTAGCCAGCTAGTAATGTAGCATAACATATAATATATATTAATACAAAAATATTATATATAATATAATAAGTATAAGCATAATATATAACATATAATACATGCAGAGGGTGTCGTTTTTCTCATACTGATATTCTGAACAATCTGTGCTGTTGTATTTGCTGTAAAGTGTCTCTACTGTAGGCTAATTTTATTATATGTACAGCACTTTGGCTCGACCAAAAATCGTTTATAAATGTGCTATGTAAATAAAACTTGATTTGATTCACAGCTATCAAGCATAGACAGTATATTTAGCCAGCATGGAATGTAGCATAAAAATAGCATTCATTAATGGAGGAATAATTTATTAAATTCAAGAAATTCACTTTATTATTTATTAACTTTATTATTTCATTTCATTTTATTAGATAATGTCTGCAAGAAGAGATGGAAGAGTCTGAGGGACAGGTTCCGCATGGAAAATAATATGGAGAAGGAGGCAAAGATAAGCGGGGCAGGGTCTGCAGGGGGGTACAAGCCCTGGCGTTTCATGGCAGTGATGGGGTTTTTAACCCCATTCATCATAGACCGTGAGACGTCCAGTAATGTCCCCCGGCAGACCCTGCCTCCATCCACCCTGGTGGCAGAGGAAGAGAGCCAGGTAGACAGTGAGTCAGCCAGCCAGTCCACCAGCCAGTCCGCCAGCCAGTCCGCCAGCCAGTCCGCCAGCCAGTCCGCCAGCCAGTCAGCCAGCCTGTCAGCCAGCCAGTCCACCAGCCAGTCCACCAGTCAGCCCGCCAGTCAGCCAGCAGCAGTCAGCCAGGAGGAGAATGCTGAGGTCCGGGGCAAAACACGGGGGAGGGGGAGGGAGATGTCCCCGTTTGAACGAAGTCTGCTGTCAGCAATTACCAAGCAATTGCCCAGCCAACCCCACCAGTGGTGGAGGAGGACGAGGACTTGCAATTTTTCAAGAGCCTCTTGCCCACCATGAGGCAGATGACAAGGGCACAGAGGGCAAGAGTCCGCCTCGGGGTACACCAGCTAATTTTTGACGTGGACCAGCAGGACAATTTATAATTTAATAATTTTTTCACACATACTGATCCACATTACATTTTTTTACACTCATCACACACACTTCACTCAAATTCACCAAATAAAACATTATTTAAAGTATGTTATGGCTATACTGTGTCTTCACTTGTTCATGTGGTTTGTCAGTTGCAACATACCAGAAGCTTCATGTATGTCGGTATATATAATGTGCTTTCTTCTGTAATTGGTCATGTGAAAACCTATTGAAATTATGAGTGGTTTATCAGTAAAAACAGGGCTGAAAGAAAAAGGTTGTTAGTCATATCATAATATAATAATATCAATTCAAGAAACATGTTTATTAGGAATGTTTGATTTTAAAATGGCTCATTTGGAATATTTGCTCTTTAAAGAAAATGGGTAGCTCTTAAAAGAGCTTTTGGTTTGGAGGAGCCATGGTGACCCTACACCACTTTATGCTGCCATGACACTACACCCTCCTCATTCAAATAGGAGCAGAAGGTCTCCCGCAGTTGGATGGATCGGCGTGTGGCGTTGTTTGAGCCCATCATAGGTGCATCGCGCAGGGTTGGAGCTTCATCACTCGACTCTGCGACGACAGGGATGACAGGTGTGCGCGATGACCTTCCTATTGTCTTCCTGCGGAGGAAGTTGTGCAACACACAGGTGGCCTTCACACACAACTCTGTTACCTCCGGGCTGGTGGTGATGACACGCCGGAACATTCTCCACTGAGATGAGAGGATGCCAAACGCACATTCAACAACCAACCTGGCCCGGCTGAGGCGGTAGTTGAACAGCCTCCTTTCGCGCGTGAGCTGACGTCCAGGGAACGGACGCAGCAGGTTGTCCAGCAGCGGAAAAGCCTCATCTCCAACAAACACATGGGGAAGAAGGCCCAGCCGCTCTGCTCCTGGGATGACGGTGTCAGGTGGTAGCTGCAGACTGCCATCTCGGAGGCCCTCTCCAAAAGCGGAATTCCGCAGGCTCCCACCGTCGCTGCTCCTTCCAAAACCTCCGACATCCACTACCCTGAAGAGGTACTGGGCATCCACGACAGCCAGTAGTACCAAGGAGTGGGTGGACTTGTAGTTGAAGTACAGGGACCCAGAATTTGCCGGAGCCTGGATCACCACGTGCTTCCCATCAATGGCACCAACGCAATTTGGAAAGTTCCAGCGCTCCTGGAACCCAGCAGCGATGGCTCTCCAGTCCTCCGTCTGTGGTACCGGCATGGTCTCCTCGACCAGCGCGGTCCAGATGGCACCCGCAACCTCCTTGACGATGACAGCCACTGTTGCATGCCCGACCCGATAGCTGAATGCTATGGTCCTGTACGAGTCACCGGTTGCCAGGTACCTGAGAAAAAAGTAATATACAAGATTTTTTTTTTAAAAGTTATACGCCACGCAGACACACACACCACAAACATCACAGACACACCACAGACACACACACACACCACAGGCACACACATCACAGACACACACACACCACAGACACACACACACCACATACACACACACCACAGACACACACACACACACCACAGACACACACATCACAGACACACACAGACCACAAACACACACACACACACAGGGGAGCAATACTGCGTTTACCTAGCTATCTTAATTAATGTCATTCATCTGAACTAAATCACAGACTTCATTCATCCATTGCATGCATTCTCTCTCTTTATATACAGAGTCATATTAAAGAAGTAGAAATACACAAAACGTACCGTAGGCAGATGGCGAGTCGCTCGGCGGGTCCGATTGACAAACGCATACGGGTGTCTGCCTTTGCAATCAGTGGACCGACTTTTCCGAACAACTCGTCGAACGCGTCTTTGCTCATCCTGAAGTACTGCTGAAACAGTACACCATCCAGGCGGAGCTCTTGGACAAGAACGTGGTATTCCCCCCATTGCAGACGTTTTCTGAGTATTGTATGTACCCAACAGCGACGCACTATACGTGGCCTCCTGCGAGACATTGCATAAACCAACGCTACCGTTGCTACAAAACCGGCATCCATTTTGGCAATAGTGTAGAAGAACCGGGCTTTTTTTTGCTTTGCGGGTGGGAGATTCCTGATTGGTTGTTGGTCGCCTTGGGCGCGAGAAATCGCCAAGCCTCAGACACGCCCAGCTTCAAGCTTTTTCGATGCCTGTAGTGTAGACGGGCCGTAGTCATTAGGCTTGTTTGAGACAAGCGAGACCTGCGCAGTTGCGATCAACGTCTTGCTAGTGCGTTGCATGATGGTTAGTCATTTTGTCCGACTTGCTCTGGAGGCCCGCCTACATGAGACGTTGAAATCTTGCGGGACAAAGACGCCCGCAGCCTTGAGAGCGAGGCGCGGCGAGGCGGCGCAGTTGCTCTCCACGGGCTGCGGAAGCAAAATTCTTGATGGGAAACGACTCGCTGGTATCTCGAGCTGAGCGCTCATTGGTGGTTTTTACCACGTGCTGGTGATGAAACTCTCCAATTGGCTTGGCAAAAGTTTGTTGTTGTTTTGTGTCAGTTTTACGTCGCCACATCCATTCCCATTTTTCATCATTGTTCCACAATGTTTTATTCATGAAATTAATATCCATATATTTTATACTATACTTGCACTGCTTACCGTTTCATACTTTATATATCTTAGCATATTCATAGACACTGTTCATACTGCTCTCAGGCTGCTGTGTATATCTAGTGTATTCATACCCCTCACTGTTTATTCATCATTCAATTCATTCTATATTTTATTCTGTCTATTGTGTACATTACTTTTCACTTTACTGCTTGTTGCACCTGGTTAGAAGCTAAACTGCATTTCGTTGTCTCAGTACCTGTAATATGTGCAATAACAATAAAGTTGAATCTAATCTTGAGCAGGAACAAATGTATTTACTTAGTACATATCTGACATTAACGATTAAACACATGTGTGCATTCTTTATAAATGCAAACCGAGTCAAGCCGACTCCGGAGGTGGCGGTATGCACCTTAAAGTTGTTTGCAATCCGCCAAATAACCGAGAGAAGAAGAAGGCGAAGAAGAAGGCGAAGAAGAAGGCGAAGAAGAAGGCGAAGGCGAAGAAGAAGAAGAAGAAGAAGAAGAAGACGACGAAGCCGACTCTGAGCTGTCCGACTTCAGGCGAGCTTTTTGAGACCTCCCCCGGCTGCGATCGGCTATTCTCGTCTACTTTCGAGGCGAGCCGCAACGCGTCTCAAACAAGCCTATTTTGTCCGACTTGCTCTGGAGGCTCGCCTACATGAGACGTTGAAATCTCGTGGGACAAAGACGCCCGCAGCCTTGAGAGCGAGGCGCGGCGAGGCGCGGTGAGGCGCGGCGGCGCAGTTCCTCTCCACGGGCTGCGGAAGCGAAATGCTTGATGGGAAACGTCCATGGAAACGTCTCGCTGGTATCTCGAGCTGAGCGCTCATTGGTGGTTTTTACCCCGTGCTGCTGATGAAACTCTCCAATTGGCTCGGCAAAAGTTTGTTGTTGTTTTGTGTCAGTTTTACGTCGCCACTTCCATTCACATTTTTCATCATTGTTCCACAATGTTTATCATCATGAAATTAATATCTATATATTGTATACTATACTTGCACTGCTTACCGTTTTCATACTTTATATATAGCATATTCATACACACTGTTCATACTGCTCACAGGCTGCTGTGTATATCTAGTGTATTCATACCCCTCACTGTTTATTCATCATGCAATTCATTCTATATTTTATTCTGTAGATTGTGTACATTACTTTTCACTTTACTGCTTGTTGCACCTGGTTAGAAGCTAAACTGCATGTCGTTGTCTCAGTACCTGTAATATGTGCAATAACAATAAAGTTGAATCTAATCTTGAGCAGGAACAAATGTATTTACTTAGTACATATCTGACATTAACGATTAAACACATGTGTGCATTCTTTATAAATGCAAACCGAGTCAAGCCGACTCCGGAGGTGGCGGTATGCACCTTAAAGTTGTTTGCAATCCATCAAATAACCGAGAGAAGAAGAAGGCGAAGAAGAAGGCGAAGAAGAAGAAGAAGAAGACTCCGAGCTGTCCGACTTCAGGTGAGCTTTTTGAGACCTCCCCCGGCTGCGATCGGCTATTCTCGTCTACTTTCGAGGCGAGCCGCAACGCGTCTCAAACAAGCCTATTTTGTCCGACTTGCTCTGGAGGCTCGCCTACATGAGACGTTGAAATCTCGTGGGACAAAGACGCCCGCAGCCTTGAGAGCGAGGCGCGGCGAGGCGGCGCAGTTCCTCTCCACGGGCTGCGGAAGCGAAATGCTTGATGGGAAACGTCCATGGAAACGTCTCGCTGGTATCTCGAGCTGAGCGCTCATTGGTGGTTTTTACCCCGTGCTGCTGATGAAACTCTCCAATTGGCTCGGCAAAAGTTTGTTGTTGTTTTGTGTCAGTTTTACGTCGCCACATCCATTCCCATTTTTCATCATTGTTCCACAATGTTTATCATCATGAAATTAATATCTATATATTGTATACTATACTTGCACTGCTTACCGTTTTCATACTTTATATATAGCATATTCATACACACTGTTCATACTGCTCACAGGCTGCTGTGTATATCTAGTGTATTCATACCCCTCACTGTTTATTCATCATTCAATTCATTCTATATTTTATTCTGTAGATTGTGTACATTACTTTTCACTTTACTGCTTGTTGCACCTGGTTAGAAGCTAAACTGCATGTCGTTGTCTCAGTACCTGTAATATGTGCAATAACAATAAAGTTGAATCTAATCTTGAGCAGGAACAAATGTATTTACTTAGTAGGCCTACATATCTGACATGAACGATTAAACACATGTGTGCATTCTTTATAAATGCAAACCGAGTCAAGCCGACTCCGGAGGTGGCAGTATGCACCTTAAAGTTGTTTGCAATCCGCCAAAAAACCGAGAGAAGAAGAAGACGAAGCCGACTCCGAGCTGTCTGACTTCAGGCGAGCTTTTTGAGACCTCCCCCGGCTGCGATCGGCTATTCTCGTCTACTTTCGAGACGCAACGCGTCTCAAACAAGCCTAATAACTCATCTCTCTCGTTTTATTTTTCAGCTTTGCCAAAAGCCACTGTGTCAAGTGTCCTTCCTGGGTTGCCGTCCGGAGTTGTCCAATATGGCGGACCATCTCGCACATGCGCAGTACAGATCGGGCAGGGGGACGGATAGGCGTGACTTCGCCACTCTATAGGGTGGCGAAATCCCTCCCCTTCCGGTGGACCTCCATGGGACCTTATTTCGGAAAAATTATGTATTGAAGTGAAGCCCCCAGGAAGTGTGCCAGACTCTGAGGAAAATATTCGTTGTGGCCAAACGGCGGTACTACACTTCCGTTAGTATGCTGGGCCCGGAAACACTTTTTCCCATTGACTTACATTGGGAAAGAGTGGTCTGTAAATCGTTGGATACTTTTTTTTAAATTAAATAATCTACCCAGTATGAACGTTTGTATAGCCCTTATTAAAAACATTCGGTCCTCAAGTTGTAAAATGTGATAATAACGTTATTCTGAGAGTTATTTCCCTCTGCATTATGAACGCGCATCTAACCCACGGGACCGCGCCGCCCGGCACGTTCATGTTACGTGTTCAGCACTACATGCGTTTTACCTTTACCCATGGATGCACAATAAGAATGGACCCATATCGCCTTACCGTTCGGGTGTTCAGAGCAGAGCTCCCTGTCGGAGCGGCAGAGCGTGATGTGAACAGAAAAATGTTTCTGTCGCAATATTATTTAAGGAATCGTTGAGCTAGCTAACTAGCATACATTGTCACTATCTGCTAACGTTATCTTTAGCCTTCGTTTTCTAATATTTTTTTCATAGGCTATAAACAGAGGTGGTATGAGTATAGATATTGTACTTGATTAAAAGTAGAAGTACTCAGATCTTGTACTAGAGTAAAAGTAGAAGTACTCAGATCTTGTACTTGAGTAAAAGTACTCAGATCTAGAATCCACTTCAAGACACTGGTACTTGCTTACCATGCTGCGAATGGATCTGGCCCTTCGTACATCCAGGACATGGTTAAACCGTACACCCCAGCGCGTGCACTACGCTCTGCATCAGCCAAACGACTCGCTGCGCCCTCGCTGCGAGGGGGACCCAAGTTCCCAACGGCGAAAACACGTGGGTTTGCTGTCCTGGCTCCAGGATGGTGGAATGAGCTCCCCATTGACATCAGGACGGCAGATAGCTTGCACATCTTCCGGCGCAAACTGAAAACTCATCTCTTTCGACTCCACTTTGAGCGATAGAACTATTAACGAAGCACTTTTATACTAATAAAGGACTGGCTTTTCTAAAGCCAGTTGAGTAGCACTTGAAATGTTTTTGCTCTATGAAACCTGATGTACTTATATGATTCTGTTTTCTTCAAGTTGTATTTTGTTGGACGAACGCACTTATTGTAAGTCGCTTTGGATAATAGCGTCAGATAAATGCAATGTAATGTAATGTAATCTTGTACTTGAGTAAAAGTAGAAGTACTCAGGTCTTGTATTTGAGTAAAAGTAGAAGTACTCAGATCTTGTACTCGAGTAATTTTAGAAGTACCAGAGTGTAGAAATACTCTGTTACAGTAAAAGTCCTGCATTCAAAATGTTCGTCGAGTAAAAGTATTACCATCAAAATATAGTGAAAGTAGCGACAGTAAAAGTAGTCATTGTGCAGATTGGTCCAATTCAGAATAATATATCTGATATGTTTTATAATGATTGATCATTAAAGTGTTCTCAAAGCTGGTAAAGGTGCAGCTAGTTTGAATGACTTTGTAGACTGCAGGGTAGCTTGTGAATTTACTGGAACTTTAAATAGTTACTTTACACCACTGGCTATACAGATAGAAAGACTAAGCCTTGAACAGAGGCATGAAAATAAATTTTCAAAATGCTCAACAGTGCTCCCAAAATTATAAACGGTTACACAATTACAATAAATGCTTTTATATATTTGTATTAGATGTGACTCTTTGGCATTTCTGTTATTATTAACACTGCTGCTTTAGTTGTTCTGACTGCTAAAATCCTCTGTTATTATTCCTCATTTTAAAGCCGATATTCCGTTGGGTCGGGGGGCTCGGATCCTTGTCACCTTTTTCATACCTTATGAGTTTGAATCCCTGATATATACAGTGCTTGAATTGGAATGAAAAAGGTGCCAGTACTCTAAAATCAGCAACTTTTTCAAGTCAATTTTATATATACAGCCCACAAACAAGAATTTGGCTACTATAATGCTGGTGGGTTTGTCTCTTTACTACTGTATATTTTAGAAAGGTTCACTGTACTTAACATTTTTTATGATAGGCAGCGGATATGGCTAAAGCTCAGTAAGGTCAATATTAACTGAAAATATAGCAATCAAAGTCTAGATCTTCTGCTGAAGACACATGAAGCAGAGACCTTTCAGGTGAGAGCCCCTCTGGTGGTGTTCAACATTAATGACAAGGAAACAAAGCTCTGGTCAGAAGCATTTTTTATAAAAAGCTTTAACAAAATTAAGTATTTCTGTACATTTTGAATGCAATCTAACTTTCCAACTCAGAAAACGACAAACGAAAAAGTGCCAAAAGTCTTCTCACATGGCTGAGCTGCTTTCACCATACTTCACCACTGAAGAATACAAATATGTATAAAGTAAACTATGATGCAATCTAACTTTCCAACTCAGAAAAATGATAAAGAGCATGAACAAAGAACATGTAAAAACAAATGCAAAATTGGCACAATCTAAAATGAGAAACTGTAACTGCAAGTAACAAAGTCTGAGCCATGGTAAAGAGTTACATTGAACACCAAGCTGATCAGATAACTCCCTGGTTGGTCTGAAGTCCTTCTATCTCCAGGATCTGTACAAATCGGCACATTATGCCAAAAGTCTTCTCACTGGGTGAGCTGCTTTGCAATATACTTCACATTGTTAGAAAAGGCTCCAGAAGGCCTTGGGGACATCAGTATCAGGGGCTGGAGCTGGACAGGCTCTTTCATCAGCACTTCTCCTTCCCTTTGCCAGCCAGGACCTCACATACTGTTCCGGATTGAACTGTCCTAGTGATGGTCCATTACATTTAATGAAAACCAGGCTGGACAGTCGGCTGACAGAGAGAGCATTCCTTTTTGCAGTAAGGATATCGTTCATGCAGCTGAATGCCCGCACACACTCACTAGTGGAGACAGCGATGGTTCGGACTGCTTTCAGTAGAGGCTCCATGGCAGCAGGTGTATGGGATGCCCTGGTTTCCTTGTATTCGCGAAAGCCCTGAACAGTCTCTCTTCTGTCCACTTTCAGCACTTCGCACAAACGTAGCACCTCTACGTCCCCATACTGTACGTCTAATTCTCCTCTTCAGGCCAACTTCCAGGATGGATAACTTTCATGTCCTGGATTAGCTGATTGTCCCGGGCCTCCCGGCCATGTAATGGGATTTCTCTTGTGCTGACATGAGAGGAGGTTGTGGAAGTCATTCTGTGTCTCAGATTCTCTACCATACTGCGGAAAAACTGACCTGCATGAATCTGTACAAGCCTGCCATTCTCACGCAGGGCAACACCCTTGAAGGACTTCTCAGCTAGAGCTGTATGAACTGTAGTCATGTGTGGGCCAGGCATGGTGACCATGGATTCAAAAACTCGTATTTCTCGAGTTAAGAGCCTATCTGCTGTAGGCAGTGTCATCTCTCTTTTTTGGAGTTGCCGAGAGAGGTCGCTGAGCTCTGTGAGCGCATCGTACATCAGTCCCAGATTGCTGACAAACGTTGCAGATGTGAGCACATCATCCAGGCCCTTGTACTTTGCTCTGTCTCTGGAATCCCTGCTCGTGTCGTTTGCAGCATTTGTGAAGTGATCATGAAGCACTCAGTAGTTTTCCCAGACTGCTCTGACGCTCCTTTCACTTGAAGCCACCCAGCGGATGGACAAAACACGCCCTATCACCAGGAGACGCTGTCCGACTGCTTGCGCACACTGCGCTAACTGCCTCTGATTTTTGGGGGAGGCATGGAACAAGGAATAGAGTTTGTCAAAAAAGATCTGGAAATGATTGAG